GACCTATGACTGGTTTCAGAAGAACACTATGCACTGTAACCGACGTGAAACAATAGAAAACGGTTGAGCAACACGATTATTCAAGCGATAAAGAAACAGATTTAAAGTGGTTAATCAGTTAATCAGTGCTTAAGTCTATATATAAACGTTGGTATAATATACAACAGCAATTCTAATCGTATGTCTACAATCTTCTTCCAACCACAGTACACAATTAAGCGATGACGGCCTTTTGTTGTTCCCCGTCAAATGGAGACCAGTTTAAACAAACAAACAATTTAACATCCACCAATATTGACAGGTTGCAATGATGCAGATATCAGAGGTAGGATTAGAAAAGAAAGAAAGAAAGATATTGATTACCCTGGAATCAGTGTGGAAATTGACTGCACTGGGTATCAGGTTGAAGATTCGGGTTTTCAACGCTAGAATGTCAAGTTGTTGCCTCAACAATATGATTCAGCGACTTGACGCGTCATGAAAAGCATTTTGCAATATGCTGCAAACTCTGACTCTGTCCTGAAGATCAAAAATGGTCAGAAGGGATGAGGGAAAAGGGGCTCTGGGTGTGAACCAACTGATAATCTGTTGCACAGCAAATATGTAGTAGGAAATGGAGGAGACCATCGAGTAACGTCACACACAACAGGCCTTAGATTGTGACTGAGAGAGTGACAAGGAGGAGGTCGGTATGAGAACGAAGGCAACACGTATGTGTGGAATCATGCAGCCAGCTGTAAAATGTCAGCAGAGAACAAGACGAATTTGAGGTGTGCCTTTTCGGCTGTATATTCCACTTGGAACCTATGGGAATGATAATACTAGTAAATATTGTTAGCAGTTCACGTTGTTGCTTAGGTTTTAAGTTAAATACCTTAAATCCTCTTGTGGACAGACTTTTTCCCAGTAGTATTTGACTGTAGTCAGCCTTTAACACTACTTTCGTTCCAAAGGTTAAGAACACATTTGAATTGCATTGTGTAGAACATGTTGAATCTAATCCAATCACCATCAGAAACCAAATGTTGAATAGTTGAGGGTAATCTTAACATTTTAACAGATGGATTGTAATAGATTTGCATCATTTCTCCTTACATGTCTTATGAATATGATGGTAATTGTGACGAAGTTTATTTCCAGATACACAGAGGTAGTTAGAAGGTGATATCGGGAATGCAGTCAATACATATTATTCTTTAGAGGATTTCATCATGAGCTGACAGTGGACAGAGAACCACTGGAAGATCTGGGAGTACTGGACAGCTGTTTCGTCCTAGCTTGGGACTCTTCATCAGTACATACTCACCGGGATTCGAACCCAGGGCCTCCTGGTTACAGGGCGAGCTTGAACATATTATTCTATATACCCAATTGACATCAAACAACAATCTCTATGATTAGGAGAAATTTAAAGGCAGTCGATCCTTCCATGTTAACCGGAGTAGTATTGTTCCCACTACAAGCTGTACAGATGAGGACATCAGGACCTGACAGCATTGGAAGAATAAACACAGAAGTATTCATCAGCCTGAATCCAGCTTGCAGATCCACCGTACCCTAGCACCAGAAACAACTCATTGCTTCTATATCACTCAATGTCTTGGCAGACTGTTATCACCAACAGTTGCCCTCATTCGATACTGAGGAAATGGAGATAGATCAGGCGTATAATGAAGTGGAATTGCAGTAATATCATATGCCCAGCGCTCAAGTGTGTAACACGGAAGGGGAAGCGAGGGATTACGCATCGGAGAGCGGGTAACATTGAGAAAAGTTCATATAAGGTGATGGAAGTGAAAAATGTTTTTGGTCAGTCGTGGAGTTAGCTGAAAGTGAAGTATAAAATCAGATTCAATGGATAAGTTTCTCTGAAGCCCTGTTTTTACCACTTGGAAAACATGAAATAAGCAACAGCAATAATAACAAGAATATTTGCTTACCAATAATTTTATACTGCTACATATTAGATTTTTAGAAAACAGAAAGATTGAGCGAGTGAAGAAATATTTACTTTTCAATTAGATCCTCATCTCACTCTGGCTCTACTTTAATATACACGTATAGCATTTTTATTACAATACACACAACAGTTTCCCAATCAAGTGGCGATAAGTTTGTTAACAATAATTAGTGTCAATGGGTTAATAGTTAACAAAGAAAATCAATACAGATTCAAAAGGTGGAAATGGATAGAATAAATTAATTTTACAAGAATAACACGTAAATTAAAGATAAAGTGGTCAAAATAAATAAAATAAAATAAATAATTTAGACAAATATAATTTTTATAGGTTTAGGGGGAGGGGGGTGACGCAGTCCTGTTTATCCATTCTTGTGACGATGGCCACGGTAGGGAAAGTGACTGTATAAATTTTTTCTGTACACATAGGCTTGGCTTCTTCAGATGAATGCCAATCGCCTCAGCCGTCTGTAGAAGATGAACTCGCAGAGCAAAATTAAGATAAGTTGGAATGCGATAAATAATTTTAAATGCTGTATTCACATCAATCTTATGGTCAGTATCAACGAGGTGGGCTAAAATAGAGATACGAATAGATCCTTTTTGTCCCTTACTTAACCACGTTGCATGATGTTCGGAAATACGACGATGAACTTGCCTAATTGTACGCTCAATATAGCTGGCTCCGCAGCTGCAGTCAAACTGGTAGACACAACACATAGAGGAAGCGAATTTAGGTGGTTTATCCTTATTTCTCGAACCTAAAATAGGTGTGGTTGTAAAGAGACAACGTACCTCTGCTGCATAATAAGTTCTTTTAACTGCATTCTTCAGGCGCTGTGTTATTAATTCGCTGATGTTGTCACCGAGGAACTGCAATTTTATGAACATTGGTTTTTTTGGGACTGTGGCCATACTGACTCTCCTTGGAGCTGAATTTATATTTATCTCAATGAATTTATCTGGATAGCCATTTTTTCTAAGTAATTCTCTAATAATCTTAAGCTCCTCATTGAGGCAGTCGTCTGAACAGATTAACCTAGCTCTATGAGCCAGACACTTCACGAGGTTACGTTTATATTTCAAAGGTACAAAACTCAAAAAATGAGTGTACTGACCTGTTGTTGTAGGCTTCCTATACACACTTCTTCTTAGTGTGCCATCTTCTCTCCTTACCATGAAGACGTCTAGGAATGAGATACTGTCATTACTTTCTTTCTCTATGGTAAAGTTTATTGCTGAATGTGCATCATTAAACTTGTCAAGGATGTTCATTGCATCATTCTCATCTTTCATAACCACAAATGTATCATCCATATTTTATTTATTTTGACCACTTTATCTTTAATTTACGTGATATTCTTGTAAAATTAATTTATTCTATCCATTTCCACCTTTTAAATCTGTATTGATTTTCTTCGTTAACTATTAACCCATTGACACTGTTTCATTATTGTTAACAAACTTATCGCCACTTGATTGGGAAACTGTTGTGTATTGTAATTAAAATGCTATAGGTGTATATTAGAGTAGAGCCAGAGTGAGATGAGGATCTAATTGAAAAGTAAATATTTCTTCGCTCGCTCAATCTTTCTGTTTTCTAAATGTCTAAATGGGGATTTTTTCTATATTAGATTTTATCGCCCCTTTTTTATTTCCCAGACATTTAGTTTAATATCCAATTGTACGAATATGGGGAGTGAAGCGGTAGAGCATGTTCATCACTTCACTTATTTAGGAAGCTGTATTAATTAGAGCCAATGGGTTGATCGCTGACTGAATCTCAGCAAAGATATAGAAGGCTCGTTTTGCATTTATCTGCCAACTTATGCCATTTCTAGCATAGTAGACGTGATATCCGACTGGCTATCTATCCAAAGACGTGTGAATTGCCCAGCAGTTCTCTCTATCCTCCTTTATGGTTGTGAGATATGGCCACTGAAAGTGTAAGACATGAAAGCCTAGCTGTGTTTTTGATCAGTAGGTGTATGCGTTCTTTTTCCCGTGTGTGTTAGGTGGTATACTAAGGTGAGTAATATTGAGATGAGGCATCGGTCGAGTATTAGGTGAGGAGGAGAAATCAATCGACGCGGTTGTGAAGTTATACCGATTGAAATGGTTAGGATATATGTTACTCATGCCTAGCCGTCGATCATTTTCGTCGACGAGCATTGTTAGCTGACATAGAATGGATCAGGTTGTAAAAGATCTAGTAGTGATCGTCAAACAAAAACACGGCTTCATCAGTCAATTAAATCCACAGCAGTTAGTTTAAGCCAACCAGTCAGTCACGTAAGGTGGTGGTGTAGGCTGCTGTCTGGATTGGGTCCTCGGGATGGTAAGAACCAATGAACGTTGGAGACAATCGGTGGTGATGTGGCCCAAAATCTCTGTTGTCAATGGTTGGCGCAGATGCATTCACTCTTTGTGATTTATCATATCCCAAAAAATTCTATTGATCTTCCTTATTAATCTGCTTTTTGCCTCATTTTTTATGTATTATCTTTCTCTCTCTCTTTAGTCTCTTTTCTTGTTTTGTTTGGTGCAAGGAGGGAGTGTGACAAGTGGGACTGCAGCACTTCTGTGCAATGTTCTATGTTGAATCCAGTCAGTCAGTCAGTCATCCCTTATGCAGTTCCTGTGACTAACAGTCTTTTGTTTTTCCTTCACATTCCCCAGTGGAACACAGGGCCTCAAGTTAGTGACTTGAAGTTTCTGTAGCAGTGATTTTTTAATTTTACAGGATGAGACTACTAGCCTCATGCCCAACCCTTCCTCTTTACCAGCATTATTTCTGACTTAGCAAGGTAAAGCAGTGCCTCCGTGGTCGGGGATAGAACTCAGGATCATGTGTATGGTCGGCGAGCGTCCTAACCACTATGCCACCGACGCATAACGCTTCTCGGCTCTCTGAGCTAAGATCATGTGGTGACTAACAGTCTTGGTTGTTAGTTTTTCTTCTGCCTAGTTAATCCGTGATGCATTTTTTTGAAGATATACTTTTATTGTTGATATTATTATTATTCTTTTTTTATATTAGGAGGTGGTAGACAAAATACAAGTGATGATGAATGGCATCCAAATTCTTCTGATGAAAATCCCGACAATGATGATGACGGTGATGAAGAATGGGACGACGAAGAAGAAGAAGAAGATGGAGAGGCGGAAGAAGACAATGATGCCGAGGTGGATTCTTCTGATGAACTTGGTGGTAGGCGACGAAAGCGCAAACGTGCAACTGAGAATAAGTCAGCAAGAAAAAGACATCGTCCCAGTGGTGGAAATAATGCTTCCACTGAAGCGAAACGACCTGGTAATTGAAATTTAATCGTTTCAACTGTTCTATAAAAGAAAAAATAAAGCATTTATCAGTTTTCTTGAAGAAGTTATTACTATTATTATTATTATTAATACTGTTCAATATGTCACAGAGATTTTGTTCTGCCCTTGGGGATTTTTGATATCAACTCGCAAATTACACACACACACACATATATATATGTATTCCTTTCTGTATATCTGTCTTTTTACCTGTGTATATGTGTGCTGAAGTTCTCATAGGATTGATCACGTCTATTTGTCTGTCTGTTTTCGACATAGAACTTTGCACCGATGTGCGGCAGTTCAAGTCGCTACACTCCTTCCCTGTAGCACAAAAAGCAAGAGAAGAAAGTAGAAGAAATGCATAATAGAGACAGTAAACAGAGGTGTGAGACAAAAGGAATGGTAATAACGAAGAACAATAGAGTTTCATTGGAAATTATAAGTCACAAGGAGTGGATGCATCTGCACCAGCCATTGAGAACGATTTTGAGCCATGTCACCAACTGTTTCCAACCATTGGTTTATGCCGTCCCGAGGACCCCAACCAGGAAGTCTACATCTTCTTACGTGGCTAGCTGGCTGGCTTAGACTAACTGTTGTAGATTTCATTGACTGATGAAGCCATGTTGTGGTTTGACCACCACTGGCTGTCTTCCAGCCTTGACCCTATGTCAGCTAACATTGCCCGTTGTTGATGAAGGAGATGGATGGCTAGGCATGCGTAACACATGCCGTAACCATCTCACTCAGTCGATGTAACTTTACAACCTCGTCGATTGATTCTCCCGCCTTACCTAGTACTCGACTGAAGTCGAGCTTCAATATTGCTCACCCTATTATACCACTTCATACGGGAGATAGAGCGCAGGTACCTATGATCGAAGACAGCTAGCCGGTCTTTTCATGTCTTCCACTCTCAATGGCCAGGTCTCACTCACAGTGATAAAGGAGGACGGAGTGGACTGATGAGCAGTACACCCTCCCTTTGGTCGATACCCGGATATCAGGTCTACGCCAGAGGCGGCGTAAACTGGCATATGTGAAACTAGCCCTCTGTATCCGTGCTGAGATTTTGTCAGAGATCAAACCGTTGGGCTGATGGTACTTTCCAAATAAGTGAAGTGGTCAACGTGCTCTACCACTTCACTCCGTATTTCTAAATTAGGAGTCATTGTAGTCTAGTCCTGTAACATCATCTTACATTTAGCGGGAGCGAATTGCATGCCAAACATTCTCAGGCATAAGATTGGAGAAATACGATCAGAAGTAATGTTGTAGATTATGTTAACGTTTACTTACAGACTTTGGCAGTGATTAACCATCGTAACTCTGTATGTAGTTACCTGGGGTTCTAGTGGGAAGTCGTGACTTGTAGGGTGCAGCAGGTCGGGTGTGAGGACAAATACTCGCCGAGGACATTGGCTAGTGGCTGTGCTATATCGTGAATTGGCAAAAGTTAGAATTCATGGGCCATTGGGTCGGGTCTCAGTGGCTTAATGGTCCAAGAGATCGCCTTGTAACCAAAAGGTCCTGGGTTCGAACCCATATGAGATAGGTGCGTACTGATAAAGAGTCCCAAACTAGTCTGACGAAACAGCTGTCCAGTACTCCCAGTTGGTTTTCCAATGGCTCTCTCACCAATGTCAGATCATGATGAAATCCTGTAACCAATCAACCAAATCCCTACAAACCAATTCTTGGATACACAGTATACTTTCTCATGGCATGATCTTATGGTATATCTTCGGTTAGCGAATATCGTTAACTGGCTACTTGCATTCTCCAACTTCTGCGGATTCTATAATTTCCCACTGGATTTTTATCCGCTATGTGTAATGACAAGATAATTGTCTTTTAAGCTGATACTACTCCAAAAATTGTGTCTTGTCTATGCACACTTTGTAAAAACTCTGCCTAAAATCAATACAGCTGTTCAATACATGGAGTATTGTTATGTGTTTCTCTACCTAGTGTTGGCGACTGTGATGAAAAGGGAATGTCCTATTTGCTCAGAAGTTTAATTGATTGCGTCAGTGGTGCTGGTGGTGATGAGGATGTCAGCTCTTAATCACATACAAATTGGTGAAAGTTTTATGTCAGATGTGAGCGGATTGGTCGACGATGTTGGCCTCGTAATCTGAAGCTACTAGGTTCGATCCTTGGTGGGATGGATCGTGAGTGCGTAGTCTACTGAATGAGTGAGGAGTCCTGAACTAGGATGCAACAGAGCTATCCAGTACTCCCTGGTTGCTAATAGGTACTCTGGCTGATATCAATCCGTGATGTCTTTACAGTCCAAATATATGTGCATAATATATTTAAGCAGTGATTGTCGTTGAATTGTCCTATTTAAGTCATATCGAGTTGTTAGTGTTCCTTAGAAGAATTACAGTGAAAAAGCATCTGTAAGTGAGATAATATGCATAAAAATATACTAATTAACTGAGCATGCGATAAAATTAAGAAGAATATGCATTCGACAGTCAAAAATAGTCAAAGCACTGATGACTAAGGTAGGCAGAGAAAGCGCTTATACTCATGTCTTCTGAACACATAATTTCGCCTTGTTCAGGTGGGGACTCCTATCATAACGACGGAAGGGAATATAGCCAGGCAACAGATCGTTTATTTTGAGAAAAATCCACAAATATTTATAGATTTCTACGTACATTATTTTTAGCATTATTGCTAGCAGAGAAGCAGCGTCTTCTGATTGGTTCTTTTCTCACTGAAGGTTATTCTGTCATCTCTTTGTGGCCGTGTCTTAGACAGTACAGTCATGCATCTGCGAGTCGTAACTGCCTACACTAAGTCTGTTGTGATTGGTTGTTGAGTTCCTCAAGGTTAAGAGCTTTGTTATTGTTTTTTCCCATGACCTCGATTTGGGACGTAAACATTGACTTAAATTCAAGTATGTGTTTGTAGGGATCTGATTGGTTACGGGATTTCATCATGAACTCACATCCGTTGGAGAACCATTCGGAAACCTGGGTGTACTGGACAGCTGTTTCGTCCTAGTTTGTGACTCTTCATCAGTACGCACCTACGGAGGTTAGAAACCAGGACCTTCTGGTTACAAGGTCGGCGAGCTCGTATACCATTAGGTCACTGGGACCCACTCCAGTCGCGTGACCACTAGCCAATGTCTTCGGCTAGTTTTTGTCCTCACACCCGACCTGCTGCACCCTACTGGTCACGACTTCTCACTAGAACCCAACCTTTAAGCTGCTACCTTGACGTGGTGGTCGGGCTTGAACACCGCAATGATCTATTCAAGCTATACTGGCTGAGACTTATGTCTCTTGAGGTCTACCATGCCAGGCAGGTTGTTTGGATAGCGGTTAAACAAAAAGCAGCTACCCAATCCAACATCATGTCCAATACAAAATCACAAAATTTCATGCCGGATCGGCCGTGGCCCGGATTAACAACGACCGCGCTTCCTGCTGCCGTGTCACAGGGCAGGAGTGATAAATCTGCTACTGAGGCACACCAAACAAAAAAGAACGAACAAAAACAGGCCGCGTGTGACCGGCCTCAAGCAGTTGTCCCCTGGGCTCTGCGGTCACGCAACCAACTTCCACGGTGTGGGCAGCCGGGAAGTAACAATCGCCCTCACAATCCGAAATGCACACGAAACCTCTCTATTACTCACTCATCTTTGTCTTCATCTTCATCTCTATCATCTTGCCTTCCTTCCACTGATGCAACTCCTCGACTTGATAGCTCTCCACTTCCTCTCCACTCTGCGTCCACTAAAAACGATGGAAGCCAAAAAACCACCACCGACAGCCTCTTAAAGCCGCGCCACCAATTTCATATAGGAGCTCTTAATGTTAGGACACTTTGCCAAATAGGACAACAAGCATCACTAGCCAAGACCCTGGCATCACGAGCCATTGATGTATGCTGTGTTTCAGAAACACGCATACAAGACCCAAGTGTGGTTATTCACCTAACCCCACCTGGCCAACAGGTTGAATCTGCAAAATTCACCTTGAGGGTGTCAGGAGATGCCACAGCTAGTTCACGAGGATTAGCTGGCGTAGGGATAGCTTTGAGTACTAGGGCAGAAAAGACATTGCTTGACTGGATCCCGGTAGATAGCCGAATGTGTGCTGTCCGCCTGAACGGATCAGTAAGAAGGAGGAAGGACTGCACTACTCGCCGATGCCTTTTCGTAATCTCCGCCTACGCCCCCACTGACTGCAGTTCAGATGAAACGAAGGATGAGTTCTACCAAAAGCTGTCTAGTTTGGTGGAAAGGCTAAACGCTCAGACATAGTCGTTCTAGCTGGTGACTTTAACGCTCAAGTAGGGAAATTGTGTCAATCTGAGAAGGATGTCGGTGGCACCTATGGAGTTCCGTGCCAGCGAACCGACAACGGTGACCGTCTCCTACAGTTCTGCTCTGATAATCATTTGTTTCTTGTAAGCACTAACTTTAAACACAAGGAGAGACACTGTTTGACTTGGAGACCCCCTTCATCAAACCAACGCTGGACACAAATAGACCACATAGCAATAAGCTATCGTTGGCGTGGGTCGGTAGGAGATTGTCGCTCCTTCTGGAACACGTGCGTAGATACCGACCATGCACTGGTCCGCGCTCGGGTGTGCTTACGACTGAACGGACGTAGGAAACAGCTGGCGGTAAAACCATCACGTCCCCAGCTCGATCAGGAAACTAAATCCGTATTTCAGGAAGAACTAGCTAAACACATATCTGTGTTCGACAGCTGTGCTCACCCTGAAGAAGCTTGGAAAAATATCCAGGCAGCCATAGATACAGCTGTAAAAGCTGTGAATAAGGTAAACCCAAAGGTGAGTAAAAACCACTGGATCTCCACCGCCTCATCCGAACTGATAGATGCTAGAAGACTTATTCCGGCGAGCTCCGAATTCAATGAGGAGCGAAAGCTGCACAAGAGGAAACTTACGAAAAGTCTCCGCAAGGACCGTGAACAGTGGTGGGCGACAAAAGCCAAA